GACTCACGGCAGCCCAGCTCCAGGTTGAGCTTTTGTTCAGCATCTTAGCTGTGGAGGGCAGTGTCACTGGCCCTCATATGTGGGATCCTAACCGGTGCCCTCTGGCATCCCAAGCCAGTTCTTAACCATTGCGCCATTCGGCCGGCCCAATACTTTTCTTCTGTATAGAACATGATCTGTTTTCTTTCCATCAAAGTCGGCTCTTCCTCCAAACACTTACTATGCTTGTCTTAGAAGACATTAATATTTCTGCACTTAATTATTTTAAGATTTCATCATTGGAAGTTTTCATGAGCAACATTTTGCAAACTTGAAATTATCCATTAAGACTATTACAGACTCCATCCAAGTCAGAAGTTTGTGACTATTATTGTTTAGGAGTTTTCCGTGTTGATAAGTTTGAGATCTTGCTTTAGTGTTAAACTTTGTCATCTTATATCAAAAGGTATACGTTTCCAACTGTTCATGCTCACTCCATTGTGTCTTTCCAGGTGCCCAGGAAAAGACAAACTTGGAAGTCATTATCCTGGTCGGCACTGCTGTGATTGCCATGTTCTTCTGGCTACTTCTTGTCATCGTTCTACGGACTGTTAAGCGGGTAACAAAATAATTTCTCTTCTATCTCATGCACATTGGTTTTCATGATTAATGAAAGCTGACTGGGGCTGTTTGAATTGTTTCTTCCCATTATTATTGGCTCAATGGGCACAGTTTATTTCAATACAATAACATTCTTGCCCACTTTCTTTTGGCTGGATCACTAGGCTTTAATTGATAGAAGTTGCTAGAGGAGAAAAGGATTTAGACTGCCTAGTGTAATTAAGATTTAAGAGCTTAATTCTGAGCTCATGTGGGAGTTGAGGGGACACTGGAAACAGGCTTATAATAGGACTACTGTCAAAGTCCATGAGTTTTATTTGGAAATGAGACATCAGGAATGGGGCAGCCATCAAAACAATAACAAGTACACAAAACAATAGCCAAACAACAGAGTGTGTGTGATTTAAAGGAGTAATGCCTTCCAGGCCAATGGAGGGGAGCTGAAGACAGGCTACTTGTCCATTGTCATGGACCCAGATGAACTCCCCTTGGATGAACACTGTGAACGCCTGCCTTACGATGCCAGCAAATGGGAATTCCCCAGAGACCGGCTGAAACTAGGTGTGTTTTCAAGTGATAGTAATTTGATACTGGGTGTACCAGGTCATCTCTTTTTCCTTGAGGATGGGGAAAAATCTAGTCTATTCAAATGTTGAATTCTGGATGAGCAATATTCACTCCATCTCTTGAATTTGAGAAATCATCTTTTTTAGTCACTTAGATGTCGGATCCCTTATAACCATGGAGAGTGAAAGGGGAGATATTAAATAATTAAACTGGGCCAAGGGAGTAAACTGTACTGTTCATGTTAAACAGGGATGTATGGTCACCCTACATACCTGGAATCTCTACACATCCCTTTGGTGGTGTAGTAATCCAAGTCTATTTTGTTGCTGCTGTCCTTGTTGACTGTAGGTAAGCCTCTTGGCCGTGGTGCCTTTGGCCAAGTGATTGAAGCAGATGCCTTTGGAATCGACAAGACAGCAACCTGCAAGACAGTGGCCGTCAAAATGTTGAAAGGTAAAAGCAAAATTATATGGTGATATATCCCTTTATCTGTTCCATTGAGTCTTTAAACATGATGAAGGCTTGTATACTACTATCTAAGCATGCAGTCAGCCTATATACCTTTGTGCAAATTGGAAAACTGTTCCTTTTTTATAGCCTCATGCGAAGGTGCACAGACAGGCAAAGTTGGGGGTGGGTTTCAGCACCCCCATTCCTACTTTCCCACCTTGCCCTGGGGGGTCCTTGTGCAGGGCACAATTTGTACAACTGTACTTAGTGGCCTGGCTATAGGTAAAGAAAAAAATATTGGTTATATCAACGTTGTTTTTCAGCATATTATGGTGCATTTGTAAGATAATTTTAGACCATCCAGGAATATGAAAAGAAATTTGATGTAATAAGTCAAAACAGCAGAGTACAAAAACAGCATGTTCCCTAGACTTAGAGTATATATAAAAGATTTCACATATGAAAAATACTATGCAAAATAAGAATGTTTGTGCTAGGAAAAAAAGATTTTTTGGGTGATATTTAAAAAAATTAAAAGCTTTATAACCAATTGTTAATCTTAATAGTAATGGAATTCTGGTTTTGCCATTTTATTGGGTTATCGGAAGAGTCATGATGCATTTTTGCAGTGAAAAACAGAAAAAATACGTCATGACTTTTCCAACAACCCGATAATTTGGGGAGGTGGTGCATGTAGAGCTCTTTACTCCAATTGTGATGTGCTTTCATTGAAGGAGACGATGCTACCTACCTTTTGCCAATAGGTCTTGTGCATTTCAAATCCATCTCTGTCCTTTTGCCTATTCTCCCTTGTGGCAAAGCGGATATGTAATTTTGATCTGGCTCAGGGGTCAGCAAACTGAGGCTTGTGAGCCACATGCGGCTGTTTGGGTACGTACATGTGGCTCTGAAGTAAAATTGAAAATGAAAATAAAACTATCATAGTTTCATTTATACAATTTTTAAAGGATATTATTCACATAATGATCATTTCATTATGGCTCTAGAATAATTTTTAAATTGTTGTGAGGGACAGGATTGGCTCTTCTGTCTCGAAAGTTTGTCCATCCCTGATCTGGCTCATCAGGATCTGAAGGTGTGGACTGTGTCTGGATTATAGGGAAATGTACTGGTCGATACTGGATCAAACTCAGAGCCTTAGCCTCATCAGCTTCGTGTGCCAACTGGCCTTGCCAGCTGGCCCTTGTTAAGTTTCCTGCTCGGCACAGATTGGCGGGAACTTCAGCATAGCTTCTAATGCATGAGGATATTTAATACATGGTGTTGCTTCCTTATGAGGAAGGACTGAAATAATCAGGCCCTAAGAAATATAGTAAACTTGATACATGAAAATCCAATTTTGTAAAAGAAGAAAATCTGGGCATGATTCCATTTGCAGATGCATTCTCCACTTTGCAAAAGACTTCACAATGGATTTCTTTAAATACCAAACATTCTGGGTGCACTTAAACTAAGAATTTGGTTTAGAATTAGAAAATGATTTGTACTTGACTTTTAGGGGAATGCACCTAGTCTGTAAATTAGGCTACAGTTGTATTGTCCCTGGAGAGTAAGTTGCATAGATGCGTCAATCTTCCTAAGGTAATGCCCACATTTATGATTTCCCTCTTTTCCCTGTATTTGTAGAAGGAGCAACACACAGTGAACACCGAGCCCTCATGTCCGAACTCAAGATCCTCATCCATATTGGCCACCATCTCAATGTGGTCAACCTTCTAGGTGCCTGTACCAAGCCAGGGGGTGAGTATCTGTGGATGGTTCTGGGTGCCTGATTTGGGCATATGCTTCTCTGCTGGTATTTGAGGGAAACCACTCAACTGCCATGGCCTTGATTTCCTTAACTTAAGATACTTAGTTATAAGTATTCTTAGATATAATTGTATTTCATGGAGGTTAAATGGGCACTATAAATTAATTTTAGAACTTCCTGTGAATTGAAAAAATGTCACATTGTTATAATACAGTTTGCTACTTGTATAATAGGTGTTCAGATGAGAAAAGTAAACTTCTTAGAAAACTTGAAAGCAGAAGACCTTAATAATAGATCCCCCCTGAAATGGAGTCATCTTCAGTGATTGTGTTGAAAAGCATCTGGGCGGGTTTTCTTTTTAAATTTTGTGAGTCTTGTGTAATTGCCTTTTGGAAAAAGAAAAGCTACAATGTAAGGGGATGGTGACCAGCAGATTTCTATGATCCTGTCCCCAAGGAAAGGTTGTAGCCTCTTCTTTGATATTTTCTGGTTTAAAAATATATTTAACACTTAGTGAGAGACATGAGGGAAGACACAATTTCCTTTCTTGACATGCGCTGTCTGCAGGTCCACTTATGGTGATCGTGGAATTCTGCAAGTTTGGAAACCTATCAACTTACTTAAGGAGCAAGAGAAATGAATTTGTCCCCTACAAGGTATGCTATTGCCTAACTGAACTCTGGCTACATTGTAAAATGGAGGAAAACTCAAAGCAGTACAGGTTAATTTTTTTCATGAAAATTCTGTGAAGAACTCGTGAGGAATCTTCTCACATTACCTCTTGGCTGTCATAATGTCCTCTTTAACCTTCTGGGGGATATATGCTTCTCATGTTTTATTTTTGTGACTTTAATCTACTGAACCATCATAGATGGTGCCTGAAAAGAGAAGAAGGTAGGGGTGATTAAGGGAAGAACGAAGAGAAGGAAAGTCCTGGATTATTCTCTCTCTCCATTAGTTATATTTGGCCCTTTGGAATATAAACCCCTCTGTATAGAACACCCAAATGTTGAAAGTGTGTCTGTGTGAAACTTGAAGCAAGGCATTTATCTCTTTAGGCTAAAGAAGGAGCTAGGCTTTATGGAAGAAAACCTATTATGTAGAACACTTGCCCAAAATTTCAGCCCAGAGACTGCCTGATCTTGACATTGATGTCCTTCATGTCTACCTTTCAATAGTTACAATCATTTCCAAAGTTTACTATATTTTAAACATTCCTTTTGTATTGAAGGAGTTTGTTTTTCACGCGTTTCCTCATAGACCAAAGGGGCACGATTCCGTCAGGGGAAAGAATACGTTGGGGAAATCGCCATGGATCCTAAACGCCGCTTGGACAGTATCACCAGTAGCCAGAGCTCAGCCAGTTCTGGATTTGTTGAGGAGAAATCCCTCAGTGATGTCGAGGAGGAGGAAGGTACCACCATTGCTTCTTCTGCACTTCACACATGCTCTTGCAGAAACAGACAAGGTGACAGGGTGTTACAAAGAATTCTGCCACAGGAAAAGCCTAACGCTACCTAATATTTGAAAGAAACCTGAATTTCTAAACTTCCTCTATTGAGTCTCCCCAAAGGTGAAGTGTGAAAGCTCTAAAGAAGCAGCGGGTTAAGCAGTAAGACAAAGCCTGGCTAGCCTGAGAAATCTTGGTACCTGGGGAGAGAGCTAAATAGTCAGCAACTATCAAACCAAAGCTCTTAAAATACTGGTTGAGCATTTATTATCAGGAGAGGCTCAGCACTGTGTTCCGGAAGGGCAAAAGACGCTCTGGTGGCTGGTCAGCCTCCCCATCGCCTAAGCATTGCGTACTTCACCAGCACACCAGGAGTCTTTCAGTTAATAGTGCCCAACCTTCTCCGAGGCAGTAGAGGGGCCATCTGTTGTTTCTCCCCCATCCCTAAGTCTTCCTTCCAGCCATACTTCCTCAGAAGAGTCTTGGTAAATACACTTTTCTTTATCCAGTTATGCTACCAATGATATTTTAGGGCCTTTATGAGTGGAGCTGCATTTCCAGTCTAACGTCTTCTAGGTCCAGTATACACTATAGATCTGCTTCCCTCCAAAGGAGCAGAGGGAGCTCCGTGGATGTAGACGTGGGGCTTCCTGACGTCTGGCTCCTCTTGAGACATGAGTTTAGAAGAATCTAATCATGAAATAGTGGAGGAAAACTCGCTTCTGTTTCCCTTGACATGAGGCCATAGATAGTGCTGAAATCTGACTTCTTTCCCTTAGAAGTCCAGCAGGCAGTGTGAGTCTGGAATGTGGTCTAAAAGAGCATGGGGAGGTTGTCTAAACCTCATGTAATTGGACCCACACTGATGGAGCCATTTCTGCTCCATTCTTCTCTCTCACAAAATGGCAGCCAGTGAGCTGAACACACAAAGGATGGAGGTAGTAAATTGGAATAGAAAGAGTGTTGGCCTAGAATTGTGCCTCCATTTCTTCATTTGGACATTGAAGGGGTTTCACTAATTGTTCACTGTTAGCCTTCTACCCCTAAGCAGAAAAAGTCATTGAGAAAACTGTTGGAAGCCGTTTTAATACTTACAAGGTTATCACAATTGAATTTTCATTTACTTTGGTATTTGTCTCCAGGAAAGAAGCCATATCTTACCCAACTAAAGTTAAGAGATCATGTTGAAACACCCATTAATGTCTTAGTGTTTATTTGTATCAGTTGAATGAAAGTAAATAGTACCAGTTTACGTAAATTCATCTTTCTCTTGATGTTTGGGTCATCTCTCATTTGTATTTTCGAAGGAAAAAAGCATCCTCACAGGCCAGATTTCATGTGTTTACAGGACTTTCTCAGCTTGAAAGTGAGAGAAGTAAATATATTTCTAGTATTTTTAGTTATCCGTTAATTATCCATAGATTATAGTTTGACCTTTGGCCTTTGTCCCAGGATAAAGCCTGGAGAGAAAAGAATCAATGACCCTGAATATTGTTGTTTTATTTTTAGAGCTCTTCATATAAAACTATTGTTTACCCCTCTGGGTAAATGAAAAAAACAAAAACAAAAACCAACAACAGCTTAAAATAACAAGTCTGAAAAAGTTGTCTTTCACCCCGTTAAATCTTACCTCCATTCTGCCTCCTGCATTTGCTCATTCAGTTTGGCTGAAATGGAAAAACCAATATTTTTGCTAATGGATATAATGAATTCTAATAATACTGGTATTCAGCAAACTTGTAGAAGATAGAGGCATTTTCTATATGCTTCTATTTCCTGAAATGTAACCCCCACATTTTAAAATAAAGAATGCTCTTAGAAACAAATAGTGAAAATAACTGATCTTGGTCCTCCTGCATCTTCTGACAGTTTCTGAAGATCTCTACAAGAACTTCCTGACCTTGGAGCATCTCATCTGTTACAGCTTCCAAGTGGCTAAGGGCATGGAGTTTTTGGCATCACGGAAGGTAAGACAGCTCAAGGGGAAATAATGTATCTCTTCAGATCACAGATTTGGAAGTAAGTTGTCCAGTGCCAGGCACTAGTGTTTTTTGAGGACTGTACTTCATTCACCACTCTGGAGCTATTAGAAGAGCTCTGTTGGGGAGACCCATTTCTGTTAATGAAGGGAGTTTAAGCACTTCATGAAATGAATTCATTTGATAAATCCTTATTGAGCATTTACCAAGAGCAGGCAGCCTTCTAAGCACTAAGGATACTGTGTGAACAAACAGGCAAAACTCTCCAGCTTCATGGAGTTTATATTCTGGTGGGTAGAGCAAACAGTAAATACTATCAATAAGTGAAATACGTAGTAGGTTAGATGGGAGTAAGAGCTATGGGGAAAGAAAGCAGAAAAGGATTATAGAGCACATAGGAGTGGTACGCTTGTGCATGCATATGCTCTTATGTTTGTGTGCATCAATTTTCAGTTTTTAAAAAAAGTGCACATGCACGGAAGGCTTTATAAGAATGTGACATTTGAGTAATAACCTGGAAGAGGTAAGGGACCAAGCCTTGAAGATATCTTGGTGTGAGAGAATCTATTTTTAATTTATTTTACATTCATCAAGAAGTATTTGTTAGTAGTATAATTAGAAAGCAGGAAGGACAGGCTTTGGATGAGAGCAATTAAAGCAGCTAAAATTAGAAAAGTAGGCCAAACAAAGGCTGAGGTGCGGACGTGACAAGTTACAAATATTCCAAAGGCTGTAAACACCACAGAGGGAGCAAGGTTGGTTGAAGTCTCACCCCTCTGGAAAGGATAAAATTGATGGTTTGACATTAAACAAGAAAAATTGAGATTTAGTTTCAAGAACAATTATCAGTTAACAAAATGCATTTGCAGCAACTTACTGGGGGAAGAAAGATTTAAAGTATTTTTTGTTTGTTTGCTTGTTTGTTTGTTTGTTTTGCTTTCTAAATTAGGGTGAAGTCCCTAACCCAGTTTTTTTTCCTGAAGTTTAAAACTCATCATAGCTTTCAGAGCTTTAGGATCTCAGATGTTTTTGCCAGGGGCTCTTGTCTTTTTTCTCCCATGGGCAAGGGAGAGAAATAAAGTCTTACAGGATTTTCCCAAAGAGAAAGGCCCTTTGCCCCTCTTGGAGATTTTGATTTTTAAAAATTATTTTATTAAGTCCATGCCGTTTCATCAGGGTTCCTTTCAGTGACTGGGAAGGGAATGGGGAGGGGAGATTCTTTAACTTCCCTTGCATCTCCCAGCTGATTTATTGAATACCACCTGCGTTGTTGGGCTAAAAATGGAAGCTCTTAGGTTGGGAAGAAAGTAGGACGGGCTGTCTGTATTTTGGAATCTCCTGTCTTGTTCATTCATGCTAGGTAACGTACTTTTGAATATGCCTCATTCAGAGGAAAGTGCTACAAGATGCGAGGTGCAGGGTGGTCAGTAATGCTTGGCTCATGTGGTCACTTCTACACTGATGTAAGAATTGACTTCTCATCTAAACCTTCCATTCATTTCTCAACGTTCCTGAGACTCTGATTCTCTCACAAGTGTACCAGGTGGAGTAAAGCCTGCTTAGTGGTATAAAGTTGGGGAGTATAGACAAGGGAGAAACTGGGGAGCAGAAAAGAATAGAAGGAAAGCCAAGGAAAATTGGTTTTCCTTTTTAGTGCACCAGAGACTCTAGAGAACTAGTGAGAAGCTGAACTTGCTTTAATAGACCTTTATGATAAGTCTATACTTTGAAAACAGGATGAGCCCCGTGGGGAATTGTTTATTAGAGCCAGTCCAGCTTTAGTTACATATGGAATGGGGAAACCAACAAAGGGCACCAAACCAGTGAAAGCCCCTTGTTTCTGATTTCCGTGCATTCATTCAAAATAAGTCCCATTCTGGGGCCTCCCGTAGAATAACATGTTTTAACCGTATATGGAGCCAGGCAAAAGGGATGTGTGGATGTGACCAGAAACACATTCTTAATTGTGTCCAAGAGAAGTCTATTTATGACTCCCTCATCATACTATAACTTAATTATTTAACTCCAAAGTCTGGGACTGTTTATGGAATAAGCAGATGTGTGTCTCAACAAAACTCAGACTTTTTCCTCAAGTGTTGATAAAAGATATTAACCCAGTGCTTGTTAATCAGTTGGTTTTCTGATGTGGGTTTTTGTTTTTTTTAAAGCATGAAGTCACAACAGATGTAGAAAAGATCAGCTGTGCTGAGACCTAATGCACACATGATTCTTTTTGCAGTGTATCCACAGGGACCTGGCAGCACGAAATATCCTTTTGTCGGAGAAGAACGTGGTTAAAATCTGTGACTTTGGCTTGGCCCGGGATATTTATAAAGACCCAGATTATGTGAGAAAAGGAGATGTAAGTTTCAAAGATGAACCCAGTGATCTATTAAGCTACAGAATTCAAGCACCTCTTAGCAAGCTTCAGGACCTGTGTTCAGGAGCAAAGGAAGTGTTTTTCTTTAGATATTTGCTAAGCTGGGTTCTGATTCCTTGTCTCCTACCCTTTTAGGCACGCCTCCCTTTGAAATGGATGGCCCCAGAAACAATTTTTGACAGAGTGTACACAATTCAGAGCGATGTGTGGTCCTTTGGTGTCTTGCTCTGGGAAATATTTTCTTTAGGTAAGTCACTTCTCTTGGCCCCTCCACCCAGACCTTCAATAGAATGATAAAAGTCAGTGGCCTCCATATACCTTTTCCTCTCTTGTAGTAGACCTTTACTGGGGGAAACTTTTTTGGAAGCTTAGGATTGTAAAATAAAATAATTAAAAAAATTAAAAAATAGACAAATAAAGAAAAGATCTATAGGTGATGAGGATGTTCAAGAATCAGGCTCATCTGGGGCTTTATAAGAGAAAATGAAGTCAAATAACATCCCAGTCCTGTTTTTAATCTAGGTGCTTCTCCATATCCTGGAGTAAAGATTGATGAGGAGTTTTGTAGGCGATTGAAAGAAGGAACTAGAATGAGAGCCCCTGATTATACCACACCAGAAATGTAAGACTTTAAAAATATTTTTGTAGTCTCTCTCTTTGCTCACAAGATTCTCCCTGCCTGGAAGACTTGGCATTATATACACCTTTGTGGCTCCGTTTATGTCCTTCTTCCTTGCAGTCCTTCCTTGATAATGTCAAGCACAGTCATCTCTTCTTCTTGAAATAATAGCATTTTATCTATACCAACCAGTTTGTTTTCATTACATGTTGATTTACAGTTTCCTTTTCTGTACACACTTGATGCTCCAAGTGTAGAGGAACATTAAGTGCCTTATGTATCCCTTTTTAGCATTTTGGCTCATGGTAGACTCTTTGTAAATGTGTACTCGTTCAAGTGCTTATTTTCAGCATTGGATCAGGAGGAAAGAAGGTGTTAATGACATCAGTGTTTTGCTTCTCTAGGTACCAGACCATGCTTGACTGCTGGCATGGGGAGCCCAATCAGAGACCCACGTTTTCAGAGTTGGTGGAACATTTGGGAAATCTGTTACAAGCTAATGCTCAGCAGGTGTGTGACCTCCATCCAAGAAGCTTCTACAAAGAGTACCTAGATATCAAGGGCTCCTCTACTGCCTAGATCTTCTCATGGTCACCATGCTATCCTCTCAGCCATTGAATAAGGAGCCATTTTCTTCCAGATCTTAGCAGTAATGATTTTCTAAAAGTTGTAATTACCCTTTTAGATAGACGAGATCCTAATTCATAACCTGGGAGCAGACCACTCTATTCCTACCAATGTATCTTTTTGTTAAGTCTTCAGATGCTCTTCTAAAGTAAAAATAACAACATTAAGCTAGTTGATCCACAAAATATCAACAATGATGGAATTTCAAGGAATTTTTAATACATCCTGCAAACAAAAACGCATCTGAACCCTGTAAAATAGATGGCTTTTTGTTTGTTTGTTTTGTTTTTTGTAAATATCAGGCCACCTTAACTTCCATTTTAGATTTTAGCATTTACTACGAGAAAGTTATTTAATCTCCAGTCAATACCTCTTACTACAGTGAGTGGAAGCCAATTTCCTCCTGCTTTTCTTTTGAACAGCTGGGGGACAATGGGTCAAATATGTTTTTATCATAAACCTTCCTAACATGTAAAGGCATCATACTGCCCTTTATTTCTTTCTTTTGATGAAATGGTGTTAAATCGTGCAACCCTTTTTTAGAAGATCCATTTTCCTGCACATTATTGCTTTTCTCTCAACCGTCATCAGTTTTCCCATTGCCTTGAAATGTAGCGCCTAAAATTGGATAGTGCATCCCTTAAAAGACTTGCCTGGTGGAGCTCTGTGTGTTCTGCTGCTGCACCTGTGACCATAGCCTACTTCATCTTTGCTGTAGCCACAGTGCTGTGTGTCCCCTTCCCCATCGTGTTATTCATGAACTCCTTCAATATAGTTTCACGTACACATACCTTTCAAGTGCCCTTTTGGTTTGGACAAGCCATTTTTAATGTTGTCTTAAAGTGTTGCATTCAGATATAAAGGCAACATACCCCATAACCAAGAAGCCCCCGTGGCTTTTGTTTTTCATGGAAAGGCCCTTGAAGGACTGAAGTCATAACAATAGCACTCTGTGTTTATTGTTTCAGGATGGAAAAGACTACATTGTTCTTCCGATATCAGAGACTTTGAGCATGGAAGAGGATTCTGGACTCTCTCTGCCTACCTCACCTGTTTCCTGTATAGAGGAAGAGGAAGTGTGTGACCCCAAATTCCATTATGACAACACAGCAGGAATCAGGTACTGTATATGGCCAACATCCACTTGCGCGGGGCCTCAAGGTCATCTTGGGGAGCGGAGTGGAAGGAAGACACATTATAAAACTGCAGCATCCCACTTCCACATTTAACCGGAGCCCTGAGACTAATATAAAGGGAAATGCTCCTTGAAGAGGGCCGGGGTAGGTGTGTTTCCTCCCATCTGTAGCCCACATTGCTGCCATAGCTCTTCCTTTCAGAATACTCAGCCCTGCAGCTGCAAATAGCTGGAATGCCACAGTTTGTTAATCTCCAGAAAAAGAGACCAATTTTACAAAGACATCTGCATTTAAATTATCCCCATGTACTCTTTTATTAATGTGAATTGAATGGCTTAGGAAAGATTCAGGAAGGAAGAGTTCTGTGCATATATGACAACACACTTACGCCTCTGGGGCTAGGATACAGTATGCCATGGGATGTGCCCTGAATTAGACTGGACAGCACATCTTCCAAAGCCCCACCCAAGTCTGATTTTGAGCATTTTATTTGCATAATGGGACTTCTGGGCTTATTTAAAACACATGCACTGCAGTCCCTTCCTGAGTTGTAAAGGGATTCTGAAGGCAGCTCTCTTTTTTCTCTCTCCCAGCACCTGTGCATAAGGAAAGAGTTGATATGGTTTTCTACAGTATGATATTAAGATTGCCATTTACTAAGCCCGGAACTGCTTCCTTTTGCTTTGTTTCTTTTCCCACCCCGTTGGGTGTTTTCCTCCTGTAACTGGACCCTCCGACAGTGTGAGCCCAGGCTGCCCTCTTGAGTGTGCTGTGGCTGCAGGGAGGGGCATGGAGCTCCAGCACTTGGGCAGGTTGCCAGGTAGCAGGTGAGGAGGCACCCTGGACAGTTTGGTCCACAGAGTCACACAGGGCAGCAGGAATTCTGCTCTGAGAGAGAAGAAAGCTCAGAGTGGTTGGAAGGCCAACAAGTGAACTGCCATTCCTTTTGTGTCAAGAACTTTAGGCATTTTTAAAAGAACTTTCCCTTATATTATCAGATTTTGCCCACGTGAGAACTCTCAGTATTAGGCAAGGAAGAGACTGTTATCTTTTTTTGGATGTAGATGTTGAACATGAGACTCAGAGTAATTACCTGGGGGAATACACTATTGTGATTCAAGACCCAGATTTTGAGTCACACAGAAGTGGCTTGGTCTCCCAAGTCAGCCTCTTAGCAGCTGTGTGACCTGGAGCTGATCTTCACTGAGACCCAAGCGAGGTCACTGGTGTTGTTGGAAAATGATTGTTTTGAGAATTACTAGTATCATGCCTTTCTAAGTACCTGGCACTTGGGGAGCACTTAAAAATGATAGCTCTTACGTGAGCTGCTTAAAATTACATCCCAGTATGAATCCAGTTCCTCTGACATCTCAGTGCTGTTTTTTTTCCCCACACCAAGAAGGGGCCCTCAGAGAGAAAGAGTAATGAAATGAAAGCCTGTACAGTTCCACTCCCACGTTAAAAAAGTCCTGTTCAAGTTCGGCTGGCTTTCTGATGTGGTAATTATTCCCGTAACACTATTGCCTTCTCCTTTATCAGAAAGCCATTTGATCATGAACTCTATTCCTTGGGTTTTCTGTGACCAGGTGGAATGAGGACCCAAGTCAGCAGCACTTTGGCTCGCTTGGGCGCTTTGCACATGGTGTTAAGAGTCGATGAAGTCATGCTTGTGTAATAGATGTGCCAAATGCAGTGCTGGATTTAAGACAGGGCTGCTAACATTTATCCCCAGAAGTGTGGACAAATGTGACACCACACTTCGAACACAGGCCTGGCTTCTATTTTCTGTCTGTGATTTTTTGAATTGGCCTTTCCAGTCCAGTTTCTCTTTTATCCAGCCATAATTTGAAAAATAAAATAGAAATTGGAATCTTTTGTCTGCATCGCCTCCCAACCCCCTCCACCTTTCCCCCTTTTATAAAAATAAGACTCCACAGTCACATTTTAATCATCAGGGTTCAAAAGAAAGGCAGAATGGAGGCACCTGCACACAGCACACTTCATTTTGATGCTCTCTGTGGTTCTGCTTCCCTGGGGAGAAAGAGATGAGACTGGGGTACCTCTCAGCAGACTTGTTTTTTCCTCTTCCACATTTCCAGTCAAGTAGAAAAGCCAACGAGTCTTTCTCACTTGCTTCTCCCTTATAATTTTCAATCCCATTGCAGTATAAATAGAGCTGGACAGAGACATCACTGTGGGAGCCAGACTCATGATTTTTTGCCTGGTTAAAAAAATATGTGTTCAGCATTCATTTCGAGAGAGGCTGAGAAGTGGGTGGGGGACGGGTGAGGAGGAAGGACCACCAGTGTCTAGACTTAGCTTTGTCTCTCATGTTCCCTGCGGATCAGCTCTGGCCCCAAATTTGTATGCTTCCAGCAAGAAAACACATATTAATTGCACTCATTTTTCTCTGAAGGTAGTTTGGGGGCCATCTGTGGTTGCTGCATCATTTCCTCTGGGGGTTTCCCCTCCCACTCCAAGCAGCTTATCAAAGATTTCATTTCAATTCTCTCTCCAAGAAAGGTCACAGCACATACCGTTTTCTTCATTTTAGCCAATTGTTAGTAATGACTAAATGCTCCTTGTAGATCGATGCCTGGGACAGCTTGCTGGCTAGATGTTCCTGAATTTGGCTCTGATATTAGACAACTTGAAGTAAAACTGTCCTTTCCTCACCTTTTGTCTATCTCACACCCCATATACCCCCTCTCCCCACCCCTGCCACCACACAGTTAGTGCACACATGGGAGAGAACTGCGTTGTGCATATACTAGGTGCTTAACAAAAACTTGAACAATCATGTCCACTGCCCCCTTCTTCCGTTTCCTTCCTGATGCTTCTCCAAGGGAGTCCATGTGGAGTAACGTTAAACAAACAAACAAAAGAAAACAACTCCCACCCCCTCCCCCCATTAGCTTTAGTGTCTGAGACCAAAGTTTGAGTTTCAGTTCTAGTCATTTCTTCACTAAGCCTTAGCTTCCTCATCTCCAAATGGGAAATTTTTTAAGAAGCCATTTTGTAATTTTGTGAGGGACAGATGTAACAATATCCATGAAAGTGGTTTTTTAACTGTGAAGGGCCATGCAATTCTTGAAGTTGTTGAGCTCAGAAGTCGAGGAGCTCTCCTTGTTAAGGCAGCCACATTATTGCCCAAGCTCACCACCTCTAGTTGATTCTATATCCCAGATACCTCTGGAATCTGCCTGCTTCTCTATACCCTGTGAGCATCACCTTTCTATAGTCAGGCCACCCTTCTTTCTCTCAGAGAAGTGGACTTGCCCCCTCATTGGTCTTACTGCCTCTGGTTTTACCCTCCTCAACCCAGTCACCTTTGTAAAAGGCATGTCTGACCTGGTCAATCTCATGGTTAAAATCCTTCAGTGATTGTTCATTGCCCTTAAAATAATAATCCAAATATTCCAGTTATGTGATTTTGGACAAGTTCCTTAACCTTTCTATGCCTCAGTTCCTCCTCTGAAGTTGGGATAATAATATCCACCCCTAGAGAGTTAGTATTTGTGAAGATGCCACAAGATAATGAATGACTGACGAGCATTTAGCACAGTGCCTGGCACATGGGAGATTCTCAATAAGGGACTCCTGAATGAGTGAGTGAATGAATGATTGACCCCGCTACCAGTAGTTTTCAGTAGCCGCCACTTTTAGGGACTGGACTTAGGAGAAGTGGGCTTTTCTCCTTCCAAGTCTATCGTGTCCTCTTTCTTGTGGAGTTTTCTGAGTCACTGGTAAACCTCATTCTCTCCTCTCTGTAGGGAGAGGAACCAGCCTCCTGGAGTAAGGGAGGGAGACTCGGTTTCCATTCTTCTCCTTTGGCCCAAGTGTGTTCTCATTCCACTTGGCTACAGAAAACACAAGGCATAGCTAACACGTGCAGAGGGCTGCCTATGGTGGGAAGTACACTAGGATAAGAAGAAAGTGAATGTGCTGTCCCTCCCTGTGCAAAGGACTTCCCTTCTCTCCACTTAGGCAGTGGGGGATTTTACCCAGATCACTCAGACTCAAAAGCCACAGGGCGGGGCAGGCGCATGCCCAGGGAGCAGTGATGTGTTGCCTGACAAGTCCTATTTTTTGGGCTCCTGAAGGAAACGGGCACCCTTTAGAATTCAAAGGAGGAAAACAAGCGTTGATTGATAAAGCATCATTCTTAGAACACTTACCACCCACCATTTATCACCTCATTCATCCGTCTGAGGGAGGGAGGGAAAGCCAGTGCCAGTGCAGTTTAAAGATGGGGCAACAGAGGCATAGAAATATTTATGACTTTCCCAAGGTTGTGCTGTCACTGGTGGATTTTGAAACAGAGTATCTTGTGACTCTTGTACCACTGCCCTCCCCTAAGACCAGCAACTCTGTGGGCTGAGAACAGGAAGTAGTGTGGCACAGCCCCCTTTCCTATGTACATACTAAGCCTCTGTTACATGTAGACAGAGGAGGGTGTCTTCAGATCCTACTGGGTTCGGTATCCTATAGTGAGCTTCAGTGAGAGCTGCAGGTATGTCCTCTGACCATCTTTCATTGAATGGTCACTCTTTGGGCATTATCTAGAAAAACTTTCCTTGGAGATGGCCAAAAAGATGTGAGACACTCAGTAATATATTGAGAACTCAATGGAGGAATTGCACACAATCAGGAAGCCAAACAGAAGGCAGTTGATCACTTAGTTTGCTGTTGTTGTCTTTAGTCCAGGCTCTAGACCTCAGAAGTATGATTCAAAGGAACAGGGGATCATCTAGGCCCCTCAGTTATATTATACTTTTAAATGGACTTTCACAGGAAATTAAGCCTTCGATGTGTGCTAGCAGAGAAAGATTTTTGTTTTGTTTTTCTTTTTCCAAAGGATGTTTTGAAGGTTGCTATTAAACTTGTGGTTGAAAGATAATGAACTTAGGTATCACTTGTGGTATCTGCAGCCAAATATACCACCACTAAAATATAAATATTTGTTCTCTTGCAGTCAGTATCTGCAGAACAGTAAGCGAAAAAGCCGGCCTGTGAGTGTAAAAACATTTGAAGATATCCCAATGCAAGAACCAGAAGTAAAAGTAATCCCAGATGTAAGTACATCTTTTAAAAATAGGCTTAGAAATAATACAAAGGATGAAACATTAGTTATATAAATATTAGCCTAAGCATTAGAATCTTGGAGCCTCATTATCAGGCTTTCCTTGAGGGTCTGTGTCATGGGGTTATTATTGAAATGGAATTTATTGGGCCCCCTTGATTTGTCCATAAGTAAAGCCCCTGGTCCAAGGTTCAAGATAATCTTGCATCATGCCCAATTCTGCTCAACTGTAAGTAGTATCATTGTGAAGAGAGGGATGGAAATGGGCTTCTCAGCTTCTTCTTCGTAAATTCCTCTCTTCTTCCTGGCCTGGGTCTATTTCTAGGAAGCAGTTGCTTCCTCTTGCAGCTTGCAGTTTCTGGCTATGACACCTTTACCTCCCTCTGCAGAACATTGAAATGTGTTGTCTGATAGATGGGTTAAGAAATCGGTTTAAATAAGTAGTTGGTCAGTGTACACACTTATCAACTGTGCCATCTCATTGTCTCTTAAAAAGGACAACCAGACCGACAGCGGTATGGTCCTTGCGTCAGAAGAGCTGAAAACCTTGGAAGACAGAACCAAATTAGCTCCATCTTTTAGGTAAGGCTTAGCCAAATAGAAAAGACAAATCAAAAGAGGAATTTTTGGAAGGAATTTAGGACATTCAATGTAGGTGCAGAGTTTTCGCTTTTTGTGTTTTTGTTGATTTGACAAATTTGCATCAACCTAACTAAAGAACTGAAATGAATCAAACAAATTAAGTGGCATGTCTAAAAAGAAATCTGAAATTAGAAGACTTGGTCAGTTTTTATGAGAATTATGAATACTAGGGAATTTCTGAGCATATTTATTAAGGTAGGTAGTTTGTATGATACTGGCTAAATAACATAGAGGTCATTCATTGGCTGTGATCTCTAAAATTATTGAGAAGATTAAAATTTTTGTGGACTCTGAAGAATTTTCAAAATTGTACGTAAATGGTGCATCCGTCCTTAAGATGTAGGATATATAAATAAGCCAATATCTATTTGTTTAAGATATTTAAGTTTTATTGACTGAGTTAAGTACTTAATTGTGGGGAAAATACTAAATTTGATTTTGAATATAATTTCCTCTAGGTGGTTCCAGAGTTGTTCTGAGTAGATATAGCTGCTTTTAGCTTAAAAAATAAATGAAAATCTGTACTTACAAGAATATCCTATTATTAAGATAATTCAGGATACACAGTAGTTATTTATTTGCTAGTGGGTTCACTCTCAGTAAGAATAGAGATTTTGATCTACTTATAATCTGTTCTATAAAATGGGAACACCCCTAGGTTATTGAGTGATGCTCATGTTGAAAAAAAATATTAAAATGTGCCATTGTGCGAATTTACTGTTTGCCTTAAACCCATGGTAATAAATTGTGAGAGTCAGTCATATGTTTCATTTATTGATTCAAAATATGCTTTTTTCAGCAATAACTGTGTACCAGGTACTGTGCCATTGCTTGTGACACTAAACTTGTTTTATTGGGGTTGGGTTGAAAGAAATACTGCATTTCTAGTTATTTGAAATAACTTTTAAATCATATACGAGAACAGAGTTAATAAAATCCTTTTTTGCAGTGTTTAACATGAATAATTTAGTAAAACACTTCTTAAGGGGGGAAAAAAAAACCCCACATCTCAGAATGGCTTGAGAGCATGTAAGTCCTAAAGTTTTAGATCAATGCAGCCTACATGGCTAAGCTTTGACATGATTACCATCGGTCATGAATCCACACCACTGAGAACATTCTCTGCTTGCTGCTGAGTGATCCCGGTCCTCAGTCCTTCCAAAGAATGTGGTTTTGATGAGTAAAAAGCAGTTTTTGACATGTCTGGCTCGATTGCACATGCACTTCAACTTATTAAATGTCAATGTTGCTCGAGAACTGTATTAACACCATAACATGCCTTATGATCCCCTAGTTGACAGCGTGGGGAAAGCACCAGTGGACTTTCAGAACATCCCCATTTCCTTTCAGATCGTGAAAGAACCCCTTTGACTTCTATCACTGTATACAAACTTGTCCATCTGCAAGACCATAAAAACGTTCCATTGGTAGGAACCTTTGCATAACTCAGGAGAACGGCCTTTCACGTCATCTCAGACCTGACAGACCTGGACCTGAATAAGAGGACTTATCTGAGACCACTAATTCATGCTCGTACCTGAACATAGGCATTGTCTGAGTAAACCTGATATGTTGATTAACAAGTGGGAGAGAGGAGAGAGATAGGGACTGTTGTTTCCAGGGAAGTTATAGCCAGCATGGGGCTGGGAATGGGGTTAAGGCAACAAGAAAAGAACTGCCTCCTCTCCACCACCTCACTTGATTGCCATTTCTTCCACAGTGGACTGATGCCCAGCAAAAGCAAGGAGTCCGTGGCATCTGAAGGCTCAAACCAGACCAGTGGCTACCAGTCCGGGTATCACTCCGATGACACGGACACCACTGTGTACTCCAGTGAGGAGGCAGAACTTTTAAAGCTGATGGAAACTGGCCCACAAGCTGGCAGTGCAGCCCAGGTTCTCCAGCCTGACTCTGGGACCACACTGAGCTCTTCTCCTGTTTAAAAGGAGGCACCCACATCCCCCATTCCTGGAAATCATGTGAGAGGTGCTGCTCAGATTTTCAAGTGTTGTTCTTTCCACCACCAGGAAGTAGCCACATTTGATTTTCATTTCAAAAAAAAAAAACAAAAACGAACCTCGGACTGCAGGGAGCTAGTCCCCTAGGCATTTCCTGACAAGATGCTTGTGACCCAAGAATGTGTTTTTGTCTTCTCCCAGTGTTTTCATTCATGCGAAAAAAACATGTATGATACCCCCTCCTGTGGGTCTCCCCACAAGTTTTAACAAAAGAAGTTCAAGAGGTGGCTTCGTCCTCCGAGAAGTAGCATTACCTGGGAGTCGACACCTCTGTAAAACTGGAAGACAAACCAGGCGATGGAAGTGCTTTAGGTGTTGAAGTTGGGAAAGACCTTTAGGGCTGAGTCCATCTAAGAAGCTTTGTTTAGGATGTGGGTCCTGAGCCAAGTCTTATGTGTGAGGTTTGGACTGACAGAAAGGAAGATGTTGGCTCGCTTTGAGAGCAGACTGGAGCCTGCAAATGCGTTGTGTTGGCTCCGGTGGAGGTGGGCATGGGGTCTGCGACGACATATAAAGGCTTCAGACGAGGTTACTGGTTTTAGAAGGTTGCGTGCTCTTCCCAGTTGGGCTAAAGGAGAGTTCCTTGTGCTGTTTCCGACTCCTAATGAGAGTTCCTTCCGGACTCTTACGTGTCTCCTGGCCAAGCCCCAGGAAGGAAATGATGCAGTTCTGGCTTCTGGTCTCCCAGGCTGATCCTTTATTCAGACACTACAAAGAACGGACATTCAGACAGAGGCTCCCTGTCGTGTTGAAGAGTTCTGACTGTATACACCAGCTTCTGGTTTCTTCTGGATGAATACCCACATATCTGTCACGATGCGATATGTCTGAGCCTGAACGCAGCAGGTTCAGTGTCAAGCTGTGGTGTCGAGTCTTCAGGAAGGATTTTAGTATTTTGTTCCTTCTCCCCTCCCCATGCCTTCTCCTTCCCATTCACTCCCAACTAGTCAGTATTTTAGTAATTTGGCCTCTACGCCCTAGCGAAAGCTGATTTGGTTTGTTCACTCTCTGAATAATTATTAGTCAGACTTCGAAATTATTTTATAGCCAAAGTTATAACAACATGTATTGTATTATGTAGACTTTTAACATGTAAAGCTATTTCTACTGGTTTCTGCCCTTGTTCTTTCCTTTCTAAAAAAAAACAAAATGTATTTTTCGTTTGGTACCATAGTGTGAGATGCTGAGAACCATGACTATAAAACATGCTATGGCACATATTTATAGTCTGTTTATGTAGAAACAAATGTAATATATTAAAATCTTATATTATATATAATGAACTTCATATTATTCACATTTTGGATCAGTATTATGTAGCATAACAAAGGTCATAATGCTTTCAGCAATTGATACCATTTTATTAAAAAAAACTTGAAAAACTTGAAGGAATCCCCTTGCAAAGTTGCATTACTGTACCTATCATTTCTAAAATGGACAAGGAGGAATCCAACATAATTTCCATGTGGTTGTTTCTAATTTTTACTTGTTCCCTTGCTCTTCTTATAAAGGATCTTTTCATAAAATGTTTATATACTTGATAAACCAATAAATGTATTCTTAGTAAAAAAATACAATGGTATAATACTAACATAGCTATTTTGAGGGTAAATACTTCTGGCTTGAGGTATAATTGCTTCTCTCCCTCCCCTTCTTCATGACACAGATAATTCACACACACGCACTCGCATTACACTCCAAGCACTTTTGAGATTCTTTTTGTTTTTTTTAATTAAAGTTTATTGGGGTGACAATGGTTAGTCAAGTTACATAGATTTCACATGTACAATTCTGTACTACATCATGGACTGAGAGATACCCGATAAGTATTCTAACAGTATTTGTGACCCTCCAGTGAACCCCGTGCCTGTTAGAATAGCCAGCCGTAAAAATCAGAGGGTGAGAGACCCTGAGACAGTTGGCCAGACTTGGGCAGTGCAGGGAAGCATGGGGCATACTGACAGTTTTCCATATAATGTTTTGCTATATACTTACAGTGTCAGAACATCAGATCTAAGGATGCCATTTTCAATGATTCCTTTTGCCTGACTTCAGCGAGTGGCATTATCTAACAAGTCATTGGCACAAATGAGTGGCACTGCTCTTAGTGGTAGTTTTTTATATAAGATTTTGAAATGTTTATGTAATCAAATAGCCTATCCTTTTTTTAATGGCTTCTAGGTTTTTAAATCTTACCGAGGAAGATCTTCCCAGTTCTAAAATAATCCAAAATTCTAAATTTTATTCTTTTCTATCTTATTACATTTAAATCCATTTGGGATTTATTTTTGTATATGGAGTGAGGTCGGGGTCTCGCTTTGTTTCCTTCAAGCAGCTGCCGATCGTGGCCTCACCGCTTATTACATATACCTCTGTTTCTCATGTTTGGGAAAATATATATTCTATCATTTTTCAAGTGCTATCATCTCGCTGAGACCTTCTGTACAATTTTATGGTGGAGAAGAGGGTGGCTCTGGGCGTGTGTGGTTCCTGGTGATAGCATTTACAGATTAGGCCTTTGGCGGGATTCATGCATTAGGGTTTTCTGACGGATGCTGTTCAACTACAGGTCAGGCCTGGCCCCTTTCCTGTTATTACACTCTTGTCTGGTAAATAAATGCAAGGAGAGCCTAGGTTATTCAAGATGGAGAAGACCTCAGGGAAAATTTTCTCATAATTTTCTTCGTTTTAGGAAAAAGATTATGTTTCTGGTAAGCAGCCCCTGGCACTGTTTCCAATGCCAGGAATTTGGATTCAGTTGAAACTTCACACTTTATAGAGAAATGCTTTCAGCACCTCAGGCAGAGTGATTAGGAGGTGAGGTTCGGCCCTCCCCTCCCGCCTCTTCTGTTTTCCACGCCCCTTGTTCTTAGCCCCTTTTCTCTCCTCATTTGCCCCTGTATTGAAGAGAACTCAGGGGCTTTTTAAAATGTTGCCTGCATGGTCTGATTTTCAAAGCTTTCATTGGAGGCATTTGTTGTGCTGTAGGTGAGGTCATGCTGTCTCCCCTTGCCTCCTGCCCTCCCTCCTTCTCTCCTTTTACTTAGTTTGTTTATTCCCTCATCTCAAACTCCTCTGTCCCTTCACCTTCTGTTTCTTTCTCCTGTCCTATTCCTCTGCACATACAGCCCTGCCCCCCCCCGCCCCCCGCCCCATCCAACCAGGCTTTCTCTTCAGTCATGTCCACAGGAAAGATGAGTTGTAGGAGCTTTATGTTCATTACCCCGGACTAGGTTTTCCTATTACCACACATTCCTTTGTCCTCTTCAATGAAAGGAAAGAAGAACAGTGAAAATCTCAAACCCCACAACTTTGTAGTTAGCCCAGTTTTCCTGTCTCTCCTGGCATGTCTTTCTACCTCTCACTCAGCTATTTATCACCAAGATGATAAAATGTAGGCAACCCCCCCCCAAAAAAAAACCCCGAAAGCCTTTGAGAGAGTTCACTTTTCATACACATCTTTCCACATTTGCACGCCCTTTTCCCTAGTGGCAGCAGTCATGCCATGTCCACGCTTTCCTGGGAAGGCAGGGAGCACAGCTCAAAGGAGGTACTAATCATTTTTATAAAATTGCAATTTCTAAATGAATCTGTTCCATGTAAGGGCTTAGACCTAAGTGAACATCTGGGCAGTCTTTATGAAAGCAATTTTAAGTCCAATGTTTTGGGGGAAAAGTTACCGAATACACTTAGGTGATAAAGAAATTAAAAAGTTAAAGTCATTTTCTCTGGTTTTGAATGGAGACAAATAGAGAAATCTGGGAGGAGCAACCTGCAGAGAAATTTAACAGCAAAGTTGACCTGAAGCTCAGGAGCTAAAGTCATAGAACATACCAGCCCCAGCAGAGGTCTGACTCAGAGATAAGGACTCTGAGTTAAGAAAAACATATTCTGAGGAAGACTACTGATAAGACAAGTGTTACAGTAAACTGTGATTGATATTGAGTAGATGTTAGTGACAAGACCTCTAATTGTACCTTAGATTTTATGTTCTTTACAACACATGACCTTTACACAACTTCTTGACACCTGTAAAACAACATAAAATTCAGTAACTTCACAATTTTTTTTGTTTAAAAATAAAAGAATGGAAATATGTGGTTTAGTGTTTTTTTTTGTTTTTGTTTTAATTTTAGCTTTACCTGTTGTTTATTCCAAGTACTTTAGAACCTTTAACTTATAATTGGTGTACTTACTCATCACTGGTGACACTGTACCCTCATGCTTTAATTAATGCTCTAAACTTTTAGATACATTGCCATAGAAAAATGTCACGGAATAAGGAAACAGGACTTTGCTCCAGTTTTGATCCATGCTTTGTTGTGTTTGTCCTCTTCCTTCTTCAAGAAGTAACATTTTGGGGTAATAAATTCAGCAAAGTTGGATTAAGTTCTTTGGTGTTAAAGGTACTCTCAACTCTCTGACTCTGAGCCCATGTGCAGCTCACAGGATACGGGGCATGGAATGACTCATCAAGAGCCCTCTGAGCTACTGTTACCAGGAGAGGTTTCATGAGAGCCTGGCGCTATGCTGCGTGGGTGATCGCTTTAAGATGAAATGACTTATCCTGACAAAGGGGATTGAAAACATTCCATTCATTGCCACAGAGAGAACATAAATGGAAATGAAAACCCAGATGCAAAGTAGAGAATTCAAGCTAGATACATGATGACCAAAACCATCTCACATTCATTCCCCAGGTTAACAAGAAAATTGGCGGACAATATCCTGCAGCATGTATTGAGAAAAAGCAAGGCCTTCCACAGAAACTAAGTACCAAAGATTCAGCTCTTAATACAAAACTTCAAACGAGTTATGTTTTCTTTGTTTGTTTATATTTAACTGTACTTATAAAATGCTTACAATGTGCCAGATACTCTTTTTAAAAATTTACTAATATTAAGACAGTTAATTAATAGGGACCCTAAAGCAAGATGTAGGCTTCACAGTGTAGACCAGGTGGCAAACCAGAGTAGGATGCATAGAGCGATACTCACTGATGGCTTTCACAAGAGTGTGTTAGGCATTTACTATGCCAGGCACCTTACCAGGCAGTGGTCAAAACTATTTCCTTTGCTGCACGGGTTAAGGGTTATCAACAGAACCATCGAGAGAAGGAACTCCAATCTTATTTCACAATTCTCTAAGTATCTGTATGGACTCACCGGAACAAACTAAGCATAGTTCTCATTATTGGCTTATTTTTTATTTGGTTATTCTTGAATAAAGATCTAAGTTCAAGAACGCTGCTGGGTATTGTAATACATAGATTCCACCATGGGGGGACTTAACCTAAATTTAGAGCCAGGATGCTCCTGGGAACAACCAGGTAAAAAGCCATTTTACAGAAGGTGGAGGAAATTAGGCTTCTTTTTGTCTGGTTTGCCTCATGTTGCAAAATTTGCATTTCCCTTGTACAGCCAGATGAGATTCTGACAATGCTCCCAAAGAATTCCATATTGGCAGGCATGGTGTGGCAACACAGAAGTAATCTTGAGTTTTGTCATAAGTAACATTTTGTGTCCTTTATACTATTGTTCCACATTTTAAACTTTTCCAGTGGATGCAAATCCAAAGTACAGAAAGAATAAATTTCATCATTGTCATTAGTTTTACTAGGAGTTTTTCAGTAGGGATTAGTTTATATAATGACTTCTCCTTGGTCATTTAAAAATATTATCAGGCAACATGCAACATTTCATAAATACAACTGTTTCACAAATCAAAGTATGTTCCTGACTAAATCACCTTGAGAATCTTTTAAACAGCTTGTACTTGAAGTCAATAGAAATGAATTTTCTTTTAGTTCAATCATCATGGATAAATCATGATATGCTGCTGTGCCTTTCCCTGTCCCCTGTCTAATATGGTTGGCAAATTGCCTTGAGGGCCGGTCATACAGAGAGAAAAACATCCTCATTCTTTTCTTATCACCTTATTCATCAGTGAATTTCAGCGTTCTGCCCAGCTTACATTCTTACAGTCTTTTGTACTCGAGGAGAGCTTATTGCTTCTTTGACTGAGGAACAAGACAAGAGGATGTCAAGCCAGAAACCATTCCTGGGTCAGATCTTACAGAATTAGTTAATTATTTTCACTTAAAGTAAGTACTAATGAGTATTAATTTTGGATGACATATATTAGAGCAACTTTAATCAAGACATAATAAAGTTGTTAGATAAATATACATTATGGATTTAACTTTCATTAGGTTTATCTACTTCATGGTGATAAGACATTTCAGGTAGCTCTGCAGTCACTCAGACCTGAGCAGTTTGAAGGGCAGAGAACCACCGGTGATCATCTACCATATGCCAGGCATTGAACTATGCACTTCTCATATATTATCTCATTAAATCGGAGATAATAGATGAGGAGTGCATAGTTCAGTGTGGAACTTACTGCTCTCCCTGGCCCATTAAGTTTAAAGGCTTATATAAGGATTTGCATAGCATGAGAAACCAAATCCTGGAAGCCATGTACTTAGGAAGACTGTAGTGTGATAGAGTCAGGATTCAGAAAGAGCTTGCTTGTGCACTGCTGGTGGGATTGCAAACTGGTGCAGCCACTATGGAAACAGTATGGCATTTCCTCAAAAAACTAGAAATAGAACTACCATATGACCCAGCAATTCCACTTCTGGGAAATCTATTTGAATAAAACACACTAATTTTATATATGCACCCTGGTATTCATTGCAGCGTATTTACAATAGCCAAGCTATGGAAGCAACCTGTGTCCATCGATAGATAAATGGATAAAGAAGATCCCATCTCCTTTATCCATATCATCTATCTATCTATCTATCTATCTATCTATCTATCTATCTATCTATCTATCTATCTATCTATCATCTATCTAATGGAATATTACTCAGTCATAAAAAATGAAATCTTGCCCTTTGCAACACTATGGATGGACCTAGAGTGTATTATGCTGAGTGAAATAAGTCAGACGGAGAAAGACAAATACCATATGATTTCACTTATATGTAGGATCTAAAAAAAAAGCACCAATGAATAAACAAAACAAAACAGAAACAGACTCATAGATACAGAGAACAAACTGATGGTTGCCAGAGGGGATATGGGTGGGGAGATGGGTGAAAAAGGTAAAAGGGAATAAGAGGTACAAACTTCCAGTTATAAAATAGATAACAGGGATATAATTTATAGCCCAGGGAATATAATCAATAGTGTCATAATAAGTTTGTATAGTGACAAAAGATTACTAGATTTTTCATGGTGATCACTTTGTAAGGTATATAAATGTTGAAAAACTATGTTTTACACCTGAAATTCATATAATATTGTATGCCAACTGTACTTTAATGAAAAAAAGAAAGAAAGAGGTTACTGGTCAGGATGCAAAGGCTGACTCAAATTAATTTGATTTTTCTGCACAAATTTTGGGATAGGGCATCATGGCTTTAACAATGGCTTTAAATTGGTTAACAAATATTAGTTTGCCAAAATCAATTAGACAATGAATATTTGCTAAAAATCAGTTTGTCAAATAATCAGTTTGCCCGATGATTAACTCAACAAATTAAATTTATCAATAAACCCAAATCTTTTAAGAATTATTTATAAAGTTTGCAACAATTTGTATTGAAGTTTTTTGGATGGTTTACAACAATCTGTACTGAAGTTGTAACGGGTTGTTTCTAATTCTGTCTTCTAAGCAGAATTTTATGGAATGTTCAATTTTTCAATAGTTGATGGACATGGGCTTACGTTTTTTATGAATGTATTTAATCATTTTCAGTGATTTATTCAAATTCATCAATTTCAGCATAAGACTATGCTATATATATTTGCCATTAACACAGAAATCCTGCAAAAGGATTCAAAATAATCATATCAATATAAAAAGCTGAATTTTTCTTACCAATTGCTAGAAATGCAAAATTAAGGCTTATATGCTATTTGAAGCATTGTTGAAATGACAGTCAAAGGAATCAGAACTCAAAGGTGGCTGGAGTAGTTTCATTATACTAAGAATATTAGCCCTATCAGGACAGGAATTTTTGTCTATTTTGTTCACTGCTTTATCTCCAGTGCCTAGAACTGTGCCTGACAATAGTAGGCACTCAATGTCTGTGGAAGGCAATAATAAAATAAGTCAGTTGGTAAATAGAATTTTAGCCACTGGCTCTCAGTAAATTGATTTTTGGCATTTTCACCTGCTCTTCTAGGCACCAGAAAGAGCACAAAAAACTCAGGGGCTTTTGTTAACTGCGTTTGCAGGGTATGTTGGGGTTTCCAAAGAGGTGAGGGAAATTTTAAGCTGTGTAACTAGATGAGTATGTGGAGACCAAGGGAGGGATTTTTCCCACTGTCTCCACACTGGTCAGACCCCCTTGGATTATGCCACTCCATTCTTGTAACCACATTTAAGAGGTAACTTGACAAGTTGCAACATACCCACAGGAGGGTGACCAGGATGGTCTTACAAAATGAATGGTAGGGAAACCGGAAATAGTTAAATTAGAAAAGATTTACAGGATATGCAAGGGTTCTCTTTTAATATGTGAAGAGGCATCCATGGAAAATACTCTGACTTTCTTTTTATCTTTCCAAATGGAAAATTAGATCAATGGATAGAAACCATGAGAGTAGCAGACCCTGGATCATCTGATTCCTAATCACATGTCCTTTCCTTTGTGACTCATGGATTCCCCCTTCCATGGGGTAAGTAGACTGTTCTGCTAGTTGTTGAAGAGGAGTTAAGGAGTTGTAAGGAGCTGAGGAATCAGAGCACCAGTTGGACCAACTGGTTTCCAAGTTTCCTTTCAGCCCAGCATATTAGAGACCAAGAAGCTGAGCTCTTGAGTAAGACAGACCTATGTTTGGATCCTGACTCTGTAAGTTACTAGCTGTGTGATCATGTGCAAGTTACCTGACCTCTCTGAGCCTCAGTTTCCTCACTCATAAAGTGGAGATAATAACAGTACATACCTCATAAGGTTGTGAGGATTAAGTAATGGATAGAAAGTGCTTAGTAGAGTGCCTGGGACATAATAAACACTCAACAAATGCCTTACCTATTATTGTTATGAATGAAAAAGAATGCACTGTCTGCTTTCCTTTTTCA